CAAGCTAAAGTTAAAAGATATAAGTGCAATCCTTTTTCTGCTTGGTTATTTGCGTATCTATGAAGGCTGCATTAGGAGAACTTATGCTGCCATACAAACATCTAATATATCGTAGACCTAGCTTATTTCAACAAGACAACGCCAAAGCAGACTAACCTCATATCACAACAGCATGGCTCCATGCTGTTGTGATATGTTAGAAAACAGTCACATTCTCTGTTAAAATGTTTCCTGTCATGTCCCTATGCCCTATTTAGCAGTTAGGTACATTGTTCAAATTATTGCGATTTTTGTGTATTTGGTTTTTTTTTAAGCTACCCTCACAGTATCTGACTTTTGGGAGACCGGCAATCTATATCAGTCGCAGGTGCATCTTTGAAGAAACAGCTGCAAAGGATTTTAGTCACGTATTTGGACACAGGGCTGCAGAGTTTTGCACCCTATGGGTGAGGGTTCACAAAAACATGTTTTTTTTCCCAACTACAACAAAATATAATGCTGCACAGTCAAGAATTTGACATGATCAGCTCACTCAGATGTTAAAACTGAAACATTTGGAATCTGCAACTAGTCTAGCGATTAAAAAAAAAAAGGGCAAATATACTCTTTTAAAACATTTGTCTAGAAAACATCTGCTTTCTTTACCTAACGCCATGCTGAACAAAAGCTATTGTCAGTATTTTGATATATACAAACTAAAAATGTTCAAAAGGTTTAACTAAATTTAAAGTTAAGGGACTGCCAAGTTATTCGAGTTTGGAAGACATGGATTTTACTATGGTGTTTGAGGAAAATTCAGGGAATAACCAGTGCGAAGGGGCTTCTTCCCATGGTATTATTGGATGGTAAATGTACTAATTGTTGAAAAACATTTATTCTGTAAAAAAGTAATCAACCAACCACAAAGGGATACATTTTTCTAGAGAAAGGGTTGTGTCACTCTGGAAAATTCACCAGTTTTATTAAGAAAAGCATAGAAAATAATGAAATTCTTCACATGTTGTGTGTGGGCTGAGAAACGTATTGTTGGGAAGAAATACTGATCTAAAATGTTATTTCTCCTATTTCTCATCACTGTCAGCACACAGCTGTAATTCCATTCAAGTCCATTTTTGGGGGGTTGGGATTTGAGACCCATGTAGTTCAATATGAGGCCACAAAAACTGAAGATATACACATGACTAGTCAACAGACGTAAGACAGAAAATAGAGTACTGTGAAACAGTTCCTAAAACCAAAAACTAAAGCACAAACTCAAAATAATTTATGTGAATAATATTGCATAATGGGTAAGTAGTCTTCAAAGTGGATGAGTGGTTAGCATGGTTGCCTCGCAGGATGGGTTCCTGGGTTCAAACCTGGGTAGAACCTCCTGTATGGACCCTGTATGTCCTCATCACGCTTAAGTGGGTTTTCTCCAGGAGCTCCCACTACTGAAAAACATTGTAGGTCTTGCAAAAAATGTTCTTAATCTCAAGAGTTTCAGTTTCTTGTTAAAGAGAAAGGTTATAAAAGTGCCTCGTTTTCTTCCACAACACTTTATCCAGAGTATTTTCTGTTGTGTTTAGGTGCGCCCCCACCATTAAAGCCGAGGATCTGAGATGCCTGACAGAATTAAAAAAAAATAATGGTGCAATATAAGATCCAGAACACAACCACCAATAAGAAGATCGTGAACACATTCTTGTAACAAAACAGTACCTATTGAAGCCCTGCTGGTACAACCTCACAGCAGCTGAGAGGAATTGAGACACCCAGATGTTGGAGTGTGTCTAGGACAATATAACTGACCACAGATCCCATTTTCTGTCACTGAGGAATGGGCCGAGCCTTCAATGCCATCAACAACCCTCCCTGCACGCTTCCCCTCCATCCTCCCAAAGCAATCCAATCTACAGCTGGCAAAATGAAACAAATAAACACTAATTTGGATTATTTACGTCCAGTTTACACCACAGGAGGCAAGGTATGAGACGGAGGAAAGAAGAGCTATATGGTCGGAGGATAATTGTAACAGTGGTAGTAATAAGTGCAGCAGCTACAGTGATAACAATTAGATTTGATTTCATTTGAGAATGCCTCCACAGCTGCTCCTCACTCACCCCCTTAACCCCCTTCTTTCCCTTCCCCCTCCTCTCCCTCCCCTCACTCCTCTCCCCCTAGATTAAAGTGGGTGTGTTAATTCCGTGGTGTAGCGATCGAACAGCTCTGGCAACAATGGGAAATGGGCTATTGATCAGAACAGCTCAGATTAAGACTAGGCAGTGGAGCTCTTTCTTGCTCTCTTTCCCCTCCTTTTCTCTCCATTTCCCACCTTCTACTGCCTGTCTTCCTGTCTGTCCTGCTTGTGTCACCCCCTCCTATACACACACACGCACACACGGACACGCACACTTCTCTCTCTTGTCTTTCAACCTCAAAGAGGAAGAGAGTGTTTGCATGCATAAGAGTCTATGAGGATTTCCTGTCCTTTCCTCCTTGTCCCTTCTCTCTATCTCGGCTCCTCCCGCTTCTAATTTCTCTGCTGACAACGCCTCTCCTAACTCAATGTCCCAAAAACATAATATTTTAGCTTCATCAAAAGCAAAGAATGCACGGAATCCAATAACTACGGTAGTCTCAAAAGGCATAGAGCTCGAGCCTTTTAACGGTTCACTCTGCAGCAATTTGACATCCATTCACATGAGATTTTATATCAGTCAGTCACAGGGAGGCCTTGTGTTGTGCCACCACAATTAAAATCTGCCCTATCAAAATGCCTCGCATACCAAAATTAGCTGTCATGATTGTGCTGCAGGATGGAACACATTGAGTTTGCATTGAATAGACATAGAACATGCCAAATGTGAGGAGACAGCAAATCCATACAGTGAAAAGTGAGCTAAGAATCCCCAGCTCTACTTATATTAATTAACTCAGTCAATGGGGATGTGATAGGTCAGTTATTCATCCTCTTCCAGCGCCTCCCCACTCTGTCACATATACCTCCCAGGTGTCAGAGGCTCAGACGCTCCAGCTGCTGAGCAGATATCATTGGGAGGAAAAAAAACATGGATGAATGGGCTGGTCTGAGATCAGTGGCTGGAGGTTACTAGCATGTTTCAGTGTTTCTCTATGTGCTTTTGCCCTTTTGGATTTTAGAGGTGACATGGAGAAATGCAGCAGGCACCGTATACATGTACATGCACCAGCAATATTTACGCACACACACACACCAGTGGTCACATCAATATTGCTGTGACCCTCAGGGGACTCAGAGTACTGGCGAAGCTTTTATCTGCAGAGTGTGTGAGTGTCCTTGCTCCTGACATGGCCATCCGTACAAAGCTGATGTACATTAAAGACAAAAGCTATGCGCACAAGCAAATACACTCATAAACTGGTGTTGCAGCATGGCGTTATGTCCAATGTGAGCCGAAAATCCGGGCAAAAAACTTGAGAAGCACTGGTGTCTGCTGGAAGCCTTAACAAGCTGTGATGGAAGGCTGAGATCAAAAGTGGACACCAGAGGGCGATAAAGAGGTCCGTGTGTCGTCGTCTGAATTTATTGTATGGACTCCGTGTGTGTGCGTGGCTGTGGCCATAGCCGTGTTGTGCAACTGATGCTCATTCAGTAGTTTTGGCCCTTCCAAATATTTTTGGAAAGATCTTTCTGTTTGTGTGTTTTCGCGGGAATTAGAGCCAATTTGCATTTTTCTAATTGCTGATTAGGACAGAAACTAATAATATTTTGCTTCACGGCTGATTTTTTAATCAATCAACAAGCCTTTGAAAGCTTCTGAAAACACTGAAACGTACTCACCGTGTTTTTGTAGAGTCCAACGTGTGGCTTTCAGCTTCTTTCCCATGCTTCCATCTCCAACCCCTTCCCTTGATACCCTTGTCATAGGCTTTGGCTCTCTGCACTCAAGTGAGTTTCATTGGTTTACCTAATTGATTATTAACTTGCTTATTGAGGATCAATTAAATAATTAAAGTTTGTTAAGGGCAGAGTTGATTCAGTCGCACAAGAGCTGGGGCATTCTTCCCGCTGCGCTGCGTGCTTGTGCGGGTGTGTGATTTTCATTTATGCAGACACTTGATGGAAGTCACGAGTTGAAGGAAGACGATTTGTTTCACTGTAGTGTGGATTTTGCTACAGGGACAGCAAACAAATAACAGTTTGCTTAAGCCAGACTGACAGGTGGGGCTCGACCTTTAGTGAGTGTCGTTTAAGGTTTCCTTTATATTCATTGAAAACAAAGAAAATATTGCTTTGGCTAGGTAGCATTTTATTTAGCACATAGGAAATCACAGTGATTCCTCTAGTCTCAGACTTCAATCCGACTTCAGCTGTAGGTGGAAGGTTTTTGTGTCATAGAAAACACTGTCAGGCACATCAGTCCCCAGTCGCATTGGCACTGGAAACGCATTGAAGTGGCCACTTTCATTGCTTGTTTGGGGAATTGGTGCCCAATTCAATGTGAGTAACTTTTAGGGTCAGGTCAACAGGGTGGTGAGTACTGTGACTCTTCAAAGCCGGCGGGGGGAGACGCGATGGAGGGGCTCCTCTTGTGGCAGCAAAGAGAGCCCTGAATAAGAGAGAGGGAGAAAGAAAAACACACCCAGTCACAAACACACACAATTACACTACACACACACATACACACACACTCTCTCACACACAGAGACCTCATATATGAGACACGGGAGCGGAAACGGGTCGAATCCTACTTCAAATTCTCTTTCCTCTCGGCTTGTCGACCGGGGAAAACAAACCGACCCGAGGCACAGCGAATAGGGATTTACTAATTAACTGCTTACACACACACACACACACACACACACACACACACACACACACACACACACACACACACACACACACACACACACACAGGGAGAAAGAGAAGAGAGAGAGAAGAGAGAGAGAAAGATACACACCTTCTCTCCTCCCTCCTCCCCCCTCCCTCTGCTCTCCTTCCCGGGTTCAGGCTGGTAGTAGTGCTGCCTCTCCGGTCTCTGGCTCGGTGCGCCGTCAGAGTGAATGCGTGTGGATAGACTGGTCGCCGGTGAGAAAACAATTTACTAAAAAAAATCATACTGGAGGTATGTTTTCCTCTTTGTGCATTTTATTTATTGCGTGTAATATTTATAGACATTGAATTTGATATTTTTATTGTTTGTTTTGGGGGGTTTTCCCCTCGAGGAAAAAAGTTAGGGTTCTAGTGAGTTAGTAAGTGTTTTTAAAAAAGCATTTCACGATACGTCTGCGCTGGGCGATATTATTCTTCACGGCTGTCATTTTTGCTATAAATAAGATGTTTATGTTTTCCTGTATGGCATTCTCTCCGCAGTGTAATCTTGTAACAAAAAAGTTGGACTGCACGTAATTCACACAGGCTCTTTTAGCCACCATTACTGGGATTTTGTGTTGTTGTTGTTTTTTGTTTTTAAATATTTGTCTTTTTTGAAATATTGCAAACGTTTAAGTGCTCTTTGCATCCTTTGCAAGTAGACACTCACACAAACACACCAGAAAGGTGGTTAAATAGTCCACTTCTTCAGTGCATGTGTGAAGCCTCGCCTGTTCGGGCGCACTTGGATGCTTTCAGCTGTCTGCGTTGGCCCGGATTAGCCTTTAAATGTCTCTATTTGTTAAGGCGTCCAGATCTCACCTCCACACCGCCTTATCAATCAGTCAATTAAACAGCCACTCACACGCGGCGAGCTGCACAAGTCCTCAGCCGGTGTATCTCTCTGTCTCTCTCTCGCTCTGCTCCATTTGTTTGTGTGTGTGCGAGTGGCCTCATGCAATTTATAAATATTGTATAATAAAGTGTGCCTGTGTGACGTTTGGATCTTGTTTTTTGTGGGGGGGGTTTTCATTGTGCGAGTGCGTCTTGTTGCCTGCATGCTTGTGCCATGTCCTCAACTTTGGGACGTGCACGTGTTGCACGTGGTCATATTTTGATTTGGTTTTAGTTTATTTCATTATTTGACTTTTTGTTTTCTTTAATTTCTCGTCTTTAAGTTAGAGTCAGCTTTCACGGTTATCGACAGTTTTCCAATTTCTCAGTACAAGCTACCAACGTTTAGGTTGTTCGAGTTTATTCCAAGTTTTGGCCCAACACACACACACACACACACACACACACACACACACACACACACACACACACACACACACACACACCACAAGAGAAAATAAATAAATAAATCAACAACCAAGCAGCAAAGAAGTGGTTTGCTCTCTGTGACCATCCTTCAGTGTGCTCACCACAGAAAAATATTGAAGTTTACTCCAGCAGGAATGAAGCCGGCGATATGTGTGCGCGCGCGCGCGCGCACGCGCGTGTATCTGCCTGTATATGTGTTTTCAGACTCACATGGGAGTTTGTTTCAGAAGTGGGCGCATCGATACATTTCGGAGTCTAGCTTAAAAAAATATATATTTGGAATAATCTTTATTTGATTTCGCTGGTCTCTCCCTCATATGGTGTTTTCTTTTTAGGTGTTTGCCCCTTTGCAACTTTGATGCATATTTATGCGCGCCGTGGGTGTACTCCATCAATTATTTGTGCCAGTATAATTCTAGATAAACAGTGTTTGTAAATCAATACATGCATGTAACTATTGCAGATTAAGAGATCGATCAATGGATCCACCGTAACCCCAACCAGTGCTGTTTTTTCCTCCCTCTCTCTCTCTTTTTTCGAGTCAGTTACAACTCACATCTAACTTTTCACATCTGTCTAAAAGGAAGTTTTAATGCGTGTGAAAGTGCTTGTTTGTGTCTGTGAAAAACATTTTTTACATTTGAGGAAACTTTAGAGTTTTCTATTTTATAATAACCAGAAATTACTTAAATATGCCCAGATTGTGCGTAATAATGTTAATAATAATAATAATAATAATAATAATAATAATAATAATGTCTTGTTCTTATAATTAATTTTGTTTTTGTATTTATTTTTCGTCACCCTCGTGGCCTCCGTCAGTTTTCCCCTCTCTGTGTTTCCTGTGTGTGAACTTTCAGACCAACGTGTTGAACCTCTTCTCGGTAATTGGATAATATTCCTGCTTTTTGCGCCGCTCCTTGCCAGTCGCCTCATCCGTCTCACTGCTGTCAATACAATAACATAATAATGTTGGAAATGTTTCCGACATTAAATGCCATTCGGGGAAATTTCTCTCCACGTCACTCACCCTCCCCTCCTTAATCGTTCACCTCTGCACGGCTTGAACTTGTTAACGTGTCCAATTTATTATAATACCAGCACTTTAACGCAAATGTTTATTTAAACACACGGTTCACACAGTAATTAAGAATATGTCTCCGTTCCTTCCTGCCTAATAATAATAATAATAATAATAATAATAATAATAACTAGTGTATTTTCGTTTTAAAATAATGGACATTTTCGATTATTATTATTATTATTATTATTATTATTATTATTATTATTATTACATCAAATAACATGCCTTGCCTAAATGCCTAAAACTTCAAATTTCTCTTTCCGATTATCTTACTTCGTTGTTAGGACAATTGTTTATTAATTTAATTTGCTCGGATTCATATTTTAGTCTTTCTTTTATGTCTACAGAAAAAAATACATTTACTCTTGCTCTTTTTTCTGCAATTCATTTGTATTTTACCTGCCGTCACTTCTAAAAGGTAAATATAAATATCGTTTCTTCCTTTTATGTCCGTGTTTTTATTCGTTTCTCGCTTTGTTATTATTATATTTTATTATTATTACGTTAGGTTTTTTTAAGCCGTCCCAGCTTTTTAATGTCAGTTACATCAAATCAAACTTACTTTTCAGGCTTATGATCATAATTATTTGATAAGGAATTTGGATATTGGATGCGCCCTCGCTTCCTCATTTTCTCCTTTGTTTTTCGCCTTTTTCCTTTACTCGTTTCTGAAATAGACTATTGACTTCATTTTATTTATCAAGACAATCCACCTATGGGGTCTCGCACCTCTCCTCATCTCCATCTCGTCTAGAGGAGAAACTTCTGACAGGTGCGAGAAGCGGGTTTGATTTTTAAAAAATGCTCTCATCCTTAATGTGTTGTCATCTGGAAAGCAATTTCGTATGATCAAAGTGCGGCTAGTTAGTGCGGTCAATATTCTTTCCAGCAAGCATCTCATATATCGATAACAAGACAGCAAAGCCTCTCGCCGAACTGCATTCAGGCCCTGTATGTGCCGATAATCCCGGGTACATCCTGTGCGTAAAATGCGTTATAGCCTCATATACATTTCAGGAAGCTTTAATATAAATATAGGAAAGAATATACCTCATTTATAAGGATTTTATAGGAATACTGCAGAGAGAAAAACTCGAGGAAATGCTGTCTAGTGCGATAAGGTCATCCACAAATGGGTGGCAAATACGCACGAAGTCATTATGTGAGTATTATAAGCTCTAACTGGCTCTTCCTCTCTCTTGCTGTCACGGTTACTGTATGACAGTAAGGAGTAAATAAGGTGATTGATCTGTGGTCTATGAAGCAGCAGTGGTCCTGCGGGAAAACATCAGAACACAAGCCAAAGGATCGACTCCAGTCAGCTGGGCCAAAGCGCCACCTCCCCTGTTTCCTGTTACTTCATTTATTTTCATTAATTATTTGAATTGAGGGCAACCCCGCGTACGTACTTGTCCTTTTAACGGAGGATCTTCCAGTCGTACTAATATATATATATAATTTTTTTTTCAGTGACGCCTTCGTGCGACAGCGACACTTTCCTCCTTGTTTCCTCCTTTCCGGTCGGATCAAGCGAAGCAGCGAAGAAACTTCAAGTCCAGTCCGTGAGACCGTGATCGGGCTTCGGTCTCAGGTGCATCTCTGAGGCGGAGCGACGCGGAGGTCCAGGTGGGTGAATTCAACCCCCCCCCCCCCCCCCCCCCCCCCCTCCTTTTTTATTTCTTTCTAATTTTTTTTAACCGTGTGTCTTTAGTGTTTATTTTCTTCCATTGCTTCTCTTCTGCGGTTGCATTTTCTAATTACAGTCGAACCTTTTTCTATAATAATTAAAATAGTTTAAAATGTTTTTAAGGTAATCTGAGGTCACTTAAGTCAAGATGCTTTCCAGTGGGTGGAGTCATTTGTTGCTGATTTTAAAAAAAGAAAAGAAAACGGAACTGTATTTTACAAAGAGAGTCCGTGTAGAGATGCAACGTTAAACCAACGTAACCATTCAAAGTGGTAATTTAAACTTTATAAGACAGCTTTCTGCACTCTATGAAATCTTTCAGACTCACCTATTTCTTAAAGATTCACAGAAGAACAACTTCTAAAAATTATGAAAAGAAAATAATTTTTTTAATGTGTGGAAATGCTTTTCAAAATTTCAAGATTGTCCTGTTTTTCTATTTTAAAAAACACTGCAATTAAAAAATAAATAAATAAATCCAAACACCTCTTTTTGGATTTTGAAAATGTGTCAGTGACAAAGTGGCACAGAACTATCTACAAATAATCAAAGGTGTCCAGTCTACTATCCAGTAACCCTTGGCCATGTGCAAGATTGCTCTCCATCAAGGTAATGAATGCTTCCTTCGTTTCTTCTGCACCCGTCTAATTCTTCCCGTTTGATATTACACTCTTAAAATTTGTATTTTAGTATTTATGATTCAATATTCATTAGTGTCTGCTGGAAGAGAAAATTCTACCTCTTACTCTCGTAGCCTTATAGGGGAACTGAAGGACTTCTCCATATCTTTTCCATCATCTGCAAACACTCCCTCTTTCTCCGCCCCCCAACCCCCTCCTGTCGTCTTTCCCTTCCACACCTGGTAACTACAAACTTGTACACAATAATAACAGCCAGATGTATCCATCTATCTCTCTATCTAGCCTGTCGACAGTTAGTGGAGTGGCTGAGAGACTTGCAGGCGTGAAAGGTCAGTTAATCAATGGCGCACAATTTGACAAATCCCAGTGACTCTTATCATCCTCACGGGTGTTTAGGGCCGAAAGGAGGACCACCGAGATAAATGCTTAATCCTGAGTGCTCAGTGAAAGAGAGAGAGCGAGAAAGAGAAAGGACAAGGACGGGAGCGCTCTGAAGCAGATGGGCATGCAGAGAGGTTGAACGCCAGGGTTGGTAGTGGAGGGCAGTGGACTTTGGAAGAGTTGACAAGTAGAGATAGAAATTGAAGAAAGAAAGAGATTTGGAAGTGACTCAGTGCAACAACTGGAAGGTGAAAAATGTGCCTGCTTTTGGAAATGACAGATTATACTTTTGTCTGTCACAATCAAAGGACATGTGCAACTTTGTGGCTCTCAGATCACAGAACATTGCCTCAGGCTGGACAGGCCGAACACATGCCTTCTGGTCTGACAAAGAAATCCTGGTTCACTCTCGGTTATGGCTCTGCTTCTGTGTGTAAAGTTGAGAAAAACCTGAGGAAAACAAAGGTGTATGAGTGGTTGAATTCTCCTGTGGCATGTTAGCCCGCCTGCAGCAGTGTGCAACCAAGAGGAAAATGAGCTTTTGTCCACAAGGCTGGCCTCTTTTTTCCTTCAGTTTTTTTTAAACTGCAGGGGTTTTGGAAGAGGGAACAATTTCTCTGTCCTTATACCCTTAACAAACATCACCTCAGTAGGACATGTCGTCACTTGTTTTCTATACTGAACTGCTAGGACCTTGTTATTTCCTGTTTTTATATTGGCATACATCACATTTAGTTAAAGAATCCAAATAGCATTACTGTCACCAAAAGTGATGGCTTGAATCTGAGGGCATGAATGGAATTTCCTTGCCGTGTGTGTTTTATCTTTTTTTCACATGGGTGCAAGAGAACTGGAGCTCTTTGAGCAATCACACAGACAGACCCTCATGTCCTTTATCTCCATCTCAATACAAATTCAATGTAATTCAATTGAGATTAGTTGAACTGGCATGACAGCAGATCCGTAGTATTGCCAAAGCACTTAGGAGGCAATGACAGAACCACATCGATGTGGACTAACACATACACAATGCTGCACGACCAGCCAACCTTGTAGTGAGACTAAGACACACACATGCACACACAAAGTATAGGATCGAGCGAGAGAGTGACAGTCAAGTCAAAGAGGTTTTGGCAAATCTCGGGATGATGAAGTTAAAGGCTGATAGAAACTTGTCTAAAAAATGCGAAAAGAAGGAGAGAGGAATGATAAAGGGACCCGGACGATGAGTAGAGCTCATGTATGACAGAGTTTGTCCAAAAAAGATGAAAGAATGATTGACTCTCGGGGAGCACGATGGAGAGAGAAGAAGAAGGAAGGACAGGAAAAGGGGAAGAGGAGGACGTGACAAAGTGAAAGAGGTGAGCGATGCTGAGGAGAGCGAGAGAAGAGAAGGAGCGAGTGAGGAGAAAGCGCTGAAGGCGAAAAAAAGGAGAGGACAAGAGATAAAGAGAGCAAAGGGGGGGGGGGGCAAGAAAGGATAAAATGTATAAGAGTGATGTACGAGAAGAGGGGAGAGGAAGAGATTTACTAGAAGAGAGATTAAGTCAAGTTGTCCCCGGTCAGTCATTAATCCGATTTAAGAGCAATTAAGGTGAGACTGATTCCTTCCTAGAGAGAAAGAAATAGATGGAGAGGGTGAAGAGAAGGGGGGAAGAAAAGAGGAGACAGGGAGGGAGACAAGGAAGGAGTGATTGAAAGAGAAAAGTGGGAAAATAGAACAGGTGCCTGAACTCTGGATGTCAGTTAGTGGACAAATTACAAGCAATGTACTGAAAAACTAACAGGAACACTGGCAGAATACTCTAATCTGTTTATTTGACTGTCATGTAAAATTGGACAAATCTAAAACTTGCTAAAAGTCACAGGTTAGGGAGCGAGGTGAAATAAATTTTTCAAAAGGCACTCCAGAAGTTTGGTCGTGGCTTTTCGTGTATTCTCGCATTCGTTGACTAACACACATTCCCTTTTGATCAAACCATGGATTTTCCGTGACATTGGGATCATAGAAGGGTACCTCCACACTCTGTTAACAGAAACTAACATCTAAAGTCTGCGTGTTATAGCTCAGTTATCTGTGAGATTTGTTTTGTGAGAGTGGACAGGAGACGTGAAGTTGAATTTCAGGTGAAAGTGCAGCGGCTGCTTCCCTCCAGTCAACATTAGACAGCGAAGGGCAAAGAGGAGAAAGAGACAGTGTTAGAGAGAAGGAGAGTGAAAGACAAAGTGGATGACTCTCCTCTGAATGAAAATGAAAAGCACGGGAGCAATGAAGAGTTTCCCTCCTCCTCCTCTTCCTCTTCCTCCTACTGCAACAAACCCCTCCAATCCCCACTCGGTGTGCTCTGTTGTTCCAGATATGTATCAGGGGTCTCGGGGTCAGCAGAGGGGTCCCTCCACTTGCTGTAGTGTTTCTATGTCTATTGGGAGATGGTGGTCCTGATAGCTTGGCCGTCTGACACGTACACAACAGTACATAAATCAAAGGCGCACATACACACCCTCACTCCGTTTATCTCCCACTCAAACAGTGCGGTGATAGCAGCCAACTCTGCATAGAGTCAGACAGAGGGAGAGGTTGTGGTCTGTCTTGTTAAGTGGGAAAGTAATAGGTAGCTGTAAAAGGTTTACTTCTGTTGCTGCCATCTCTATTGTTCAGGCTTTTCCAGTGTTTGTGCCTCTTTTGTTTGATGTGCTTCAATAGTATATAGCACACTCAACTACGTACATAATTGCTGTTCCACATAACTGCAGGACAGCAGCATGTTATTATGAAGTCTTTTAAGGCAAAGAATGTAGCAAATTGAAAGTGAGGTTATAGATTTTGTTTGTAACATTTTAGGTATCTGAATGGAAATGGTTTTACATGATTTCATTGACTTACATCAGTCACAAATGCACGTTTTTCAAAAGAACTCGGCCATTACTGGGAAAATGCACTTATACACATCTCTTTATTTCATTTTCTGTTTTGTCCTGGCTTTTCTCCTATTAAGATTCTCTCTATATTTCTGTGGCGCATCTATTGCAGTTTCTGTGGACCAATCTGTAGACCATCGCAAGTCACAGATTGAGAGGCCATTTGGCTGCTGTTGACAGGAGACAGCAGCTATTGACAGGGCCCTGCCGGGGAGGCGTGTCTCAGGCCCCACGTCCAAAGCGTTTGTGGCATTTAATACACTGTAGCAGTGGTCCTCACAGCCCTCACCCTGCGTGCTACTGCCATAGGGATCAATATGCACTGGGTTAGAGAGAAATGGACCATCTGATGCACACTCAGAGAGGGGGATGAGAGGAAAAAAGAGTGTAAGAGATGGAATCAGCGGGGAGGGGTGGGGTAGCAAGGGATTTAAGGGAAGAGAGGCAAAAGACTTGAAAAGGGGGAAATGGTGAGACCTAAAAGTGAAGAAAAGAAGAGAGGAAATGATTAGAGGCATGGTTTAAAAAGACATGGAGGCAGAGTGTTGCCCAGCACAGAGATAGATAGCAAGGGAGAGAAAGTGGTCAGTGGTTGAAAGAGACATTCAGCTGGGAAAGAAAACAGATTGGAGGGAACGGGGATAGACACTGAAAAAGAGGAAGGCTCTAGACACCAGGGAGGATACACACAGGAAAGGAAAAAAGACATAAGGGAAGAGACGAGTGGGAGATAGGAAGGGAGAGGGGGAGTAGAAGGAAGAAAGGAGAGGGGAGAAAAACAGAGGTGGTGGTGGTGGTGGGGGGGGGGTGCTGGGAAGGATGAGGAGGAAAGGAGGGGAGTGGGGGGGGGGACTAAAATTTCCATCAGGTTTTCAATTGGGGCGGATCAATAGTGTATTAGAGCTCACCTTGACCCCATCCCTCCCCCCTCTCCCTGGCCCAGCACACAGGCCAAGCTACTCTCCCTCACAGCAGGGGACAGAGAGGGGGAGAGATTG